TTCCTTGTTTCTTCCAGATCTCTGATTTCAACTTCTCTATCTCAGCCATCCAAAAAGCATCTCTTGAAGCAACAATGTTATTCACCTCCTCTGCCAAAAGTTGTCTCACACCCTCCTTCACTTGCTCATCAACCGTTGTTTGTGTCTTCTGCTTCTTTGACCGCGGGAGATTGAAATACACAGCCTTCCTCACATGCATTCCTTGTCCTCGAACTCTTCCACCGTGCTCGGGCTTCCCAAGAGCCTTGGTCAATACATCATCATCATCACCTTCTTCAGTAAGCACACCAGCACATACTTGTTCCCTTAAGAACTCCTGAAAAGGAACCGGAATTCTATCAATAAAACAGAAGTGGTATAGAACTCAAAATTTTAACATTACACTAAAGCATCAAAGGAATATCCACAGGGCTGCTGGGATTAGAGACATACAGCAACATTATGTGCAAGAACTTACTAATTTTCAGAAATTATTTAAAAACTTACAATTTCCTCCGCCTTCTGTTTTGTAGAGTCACTCTTGAAATTTCCTTTTTTGTCCTTCCTAGCAAGGACCCACGTAACAGATCGATCAATGACTGACTCATCTCCACTGTGTGTTTTTGCCTGCATGTTCATTTAGTGAGTAATGTATCATAGTCAAAATGTACATGTAGAAGAGGAATACTCCTAACACAGAACTCCGCATATATTAGTGAGTACTAACCCATTCCTGTTCCAGGTTTGCATAGCCTTTTCGGGACAAGCGGTGAGGATATTGTTTTCCTTAACTCTCTTCACATGCTCATCACGGACTTTCTGCAAAAAAAGGACAGTTCATCAAAAAGATAGTATTTTAAATAAAGTACAATGGAAACATAGTCTTACCAAGAACTCGGGGCTTAGACGATCAGCAACAAAAATATCCCAATGATTCTTCTCCAAGAAAGAGAAGTCCTCTAGTGGAGTCCTCAGCCTCTCAGGTTCATCTCGAAAGGGAAGAATATATTTACATGTCAGGGTACTCTTGAATTGTTTCCACTTCGAATTCGCCGACTGCAGCACAAGTTTTTGTGCAGAAGGGGGTAGGTCGAACCCCAACTATATGCATAAACATGGGAGGAATTTACTAGTCTAAGTCAGTTGGAAAACACAGGTATATAATTAATGATCAAGTTATTTATTTTGTAAGGACTAGTCAAGTGTTAGTATGGTTATATTTACCGTGACAGATTTCCAAATCTTGTTCTTGATGGTTACCAGAACTTACCTCCAAGTGTCAAACCATATTGGAGCTTTTGTCCTGGCCAAAACTCCAATATAAGATTGCATCTCTGCAGCAGCCACACCATACGGTTGTCCCTTATCATTAAACAAAACCGTTGGTTTCTGTCCATTTATCTTACGTTTCACAAAGCGGTGCATTGAAACACATCCACGTTTTCGGAGTTTCAACCCACCCCCAGAAGGCTTGGCGACACTTTCACTTTCTACTTCTTCCCGCTTTCTCTTCTGCTTGATCTGTTTTTGTACATTGTTAGATATAGGCTTTGGCTTTGGGGTGACGGGCAAGGGAGTAGAATGGCTTTGCACGTTCTTTGACCTTGAGCCACTCAATGCCTGCACCACTGTCAAAGTGCTCGGCCGATCTTTTCTTTTAAGCCTGGTAGATTTTCGGAGCTCGGGTTTTGGGGCACTATGACATTGCATTTCATTACGGTTGAAAGACCTTCAGGTTTCTTGTGCCTTGGAGAGGATCGGAGAATTGGTTTTTGGATTGCACGTCCAGCCTGCGCATTCTGTTGAGTGCTGGCCATATTCTGAAAGTGAGTGAAGATCAAACATTTCAGTATAAAATAAGGTATATATCGAATAAATGCTGCGCATAATGAAAAATTGGGATCTGCCTCAATTTGTAGGTGGGTTATCACATTCATTGTTTTAGGTGAATTTTCACGAGTATAGTTTGTGATAAGGGACACTAAAACAGTAAAATAAATTTGATGTCAAGCATTACACAAACAACAAAGGTCTGTACCAAAATACTGAGATAAAAAACGTATTAAGATTAATATTTTTAAATATATTTAAAAAAGGATGGAAGGAGTATTGAGTTGACTCTAGAAAAAAAATTGTTCATTATTGCTGCTCTCTGTGTCACATTCAACGAATTAAGGAATTGGTTGAACCCTTTCTGGTTCAACCCTTTTCTGGAAGCAAGCCTTTACAGATAGTAAATTAAAAATAATAACAACAAACCAATGAATTGTGACTTCAATGGATTGAGAAATGTAACCCTGACCTCTTTGGGGGGATCCGAGCAGCGAGGTAGACGCATGCAAGAAGAGGCCAAGAAGAATTCGACAAAATTGGGAAAACAAATATGGTGACTATTGTTGGAGGGAATACCAGATTTGAGGTTGTTTACGACTTACCTTATTTTAGGGTTTTCAGCTCCTATGTCGGCAAAAACGGTAGGTTATGGCTCCAGTATAGCAGAGGGAAGTGAATCGGAGAAGAAGGTTGAGTGAGGAGGCGACGGGAGGTAGGGAAGTGAATCGGAGAAGAAGGTTGAGTGAGGAGGCGACGGGAGGTAGGGATTGATGTTTAGAGAAGAGTGGATGAATTGATTGGATTAGGTGAAGTTATTTTTTGGAGGCCTTCTCGGTTTTTGGGAGGTACAGGAACAAAAGATACATGGTTAGCTTCCAGCTTAATTTTGGAGGGTGGATGAAATTTTTGAAATATTTTGGCCAAAATTTTAGAGGGATTATGCTTGGGAAATGGTAGGTTTTGGCGAAATTTTTAAAAGTTTTCGCCCCTTCTTTGCCAAAATTTTGCCACGTACAGAGTAGTAGAATTTGGCCAATATTTTGGCAAAAATTTTAAAAGTTTTAAAAAGAATGTTCTCTATTATTTTTTTCACATGTACATAGTAGATTTGACAAGTTTTAAAAAAAATACTTCTTTCGTCCGAAAATATTCTTCCCGTGTTGATTTAAAAAAATACACATACTTTCCGAAATAAAAGGTATTATTGAATTTTATCTTTAAAAGTATACTAAAAAAGGAAATGGGAAGAATATTTTCGGACGGACTAAAAAGAAAAATGGGAAGAATATTTCGGGACGGAGGGAGTAGTCAAAAAAACTGTAAAGTTATTAGTTTTAGAAATGAACTCCTTGTTCAATTTACTTTTGTTCAAACTCCTGTTCAAACTTTTGTGTCATATCTAGTTTTGTATATGTGTTGATATAGTTTCTGATATTCTATACCAAATTTCACATAAAATTTTTTAAAAGAACGGATATCAAGGATATTATATAGTGTTATTACATGGACAGCGAGAGCAGTGGATGAAATGTGAAAACCAAAATATTACTTTGTGTTATTCTTAAATTAAAGACTAATTTTTATCATCGGAACGCGCGAGTAGAGTACGACTAAAAAATGACTTCGGTTATCGTTACATGTATCAGTTGGTTACTTTGCTTATACTGGTACCATATCTGCTGTAACATCATCATCGGGTTATTAGTATATATATAACAGTATATAACATCAGTTGAAGAGTTTGGTTATCTTATGGATGGTAACATCCAAGACTGAAACTGACGGTATATGTAACAGTATGTCTGATATTCATAATTATCCTTGAAGGAGTCAAGATTGAGTTCGGTTACATTGCCAGTACATGTAACAGTTGAAGAGTTTGGTTATCTTGGTAACACATCTCAGACAGAAACCGGGTTATCGTTATATGTAACAGTACGTTTGATATTGTTAAGTATTCGTGAACGAGTCAAGATTGAGTTAGCTAGGCCGGTTGTCGGTACATGTAAAAGAAATGGAGTTTGGTTATCTTGGTAACATCTCAGGCATAAACCGGGTTATCGTCATATCTTGGTAACAGTTTATATATTGGTTACTTTTATATTGAGTAATAATAATATATACTTTAATGGACTACGTTATTCTTACACCAAATATTGTACCACATTTAATTTGTACACCTCAGTTATACAAAAATATTTTGATAGTTTACATTGACACATATGTTGGTGCGTTAACAAAAATTTACACGGACACAAAGTGTTGGTGTTTTAAAAAAATATTTTTACACCAACTCAAAATGTTAGTGCAAATCTGCGGTGTACAAATGAGGTACAAAAACTTTGGGATACAAATTAAATAACTTTATCCTACTTTAATAACAACATTCAATTTGGACATGATAACCACTCATCTACCTCCATCCACCACCTAATAAAAACAATGACTTTTATCATGAACTGAACAAACTAGAACCACTCATCTCCCTTCCCCTCCTTATCCGATCGAGCTGCAGACTCCAGAAAAAACCCGTCCACTCATCTCCCTTCCCCTCATTCTCTCCATTCCCATGGCCCTCTCATCCGAATCTGTTGTTGGCGGCCATGTATCTGAGAACGAATAATTTTTCATTGAAAGCGACGACGATGGTGTGGACGATTCAAAGGAGACTGAAATCATCATCTATTACCATGAAGAGGAAGACGTCATAATCATTGCTGGGACTAAGAAGACGCAGTTGATGCTAGACGACGGCCAGAGGTATGAGATACTCGCAATCGAGACTTCTCTGGGGATCTACAAACCTTGGGATCCGAAGACAGATGTGATGAAGTTCATGCAACCCACTTCAGATGTGAACTCTTCGGTCTCAGAGATCAATTCCAAGTATGTAATTTCACATCCAATTCATAAGATTATCCAATTTCATTTGTAATTTATGAAATTTCTACTTCATTGATACATGTGTGTTATACTTTAACCTGCTGGGATTACTGTATCAGTGTTCACTTCTAAAAGTGCATTGTGATGATTTTTAGTTGAACTGGCTGATTTTTAGTTGAACTGGCTGATTTTTAGTTGATCTAATCTCTACTACACTAATGGGAATGTGTGATATTGTGATGATTATTAGTTGAACTGGCTGATTTTTTTGTACAATATACAATAAGCTAATTAAATGGCTTAAATGTCTGTTGAATGATCTCACCAAATTAACAAACATGACAACTATCTTAACCAGCAAGTCCATGGTGTCTCTCTTAAAAGTGCATTATAGTTTAACCCTGGAAATTCAATGACACTATCTTAACCTACAAAAATAATTTCGGTGTGCCTGATAAATTGGTTAAGGAGATGCTGGGATAATGTGTTATATGCATAGTACCAATTTGTTTAATTTCTTCTTACAACTGTGTTACACTACGTGATGATTAAATTCAAGAGCAACTCCTGACATAAATGTTTTTTTTGTTTCAATTCGTTTGTTGTCTAAGGAGTAATGTGGCCATGGCTGAAGGCAGCAGGAAGGACAAAAGGAAAAAGCAGAAAGTGAGTGGTTGCTTCAGTACACATAAAAAGAAGAAGAAGGTGTAAACCAATGAAGACTGCCTGCATTCCAAATTACTTAAAATGGTGGAGGGGTGTTTGTAATGGGATGTTTTTGTATGGTTTTTTGGGTGGCCAATTAAAACCAAAATGTTATTTTTGGTATGTTATTATATGTTTTGTTTTCGGAGGGAAGTTTGGAACAAAATGTTATTAGATTAAGATGTTTCTTTGGGTATGTTATTATGCGTCTTGGGATTTATGTATTATTTAAAAAAACGTTTCAAGGTATTCGACCAAAACCGACCTGAATTTTTTTTTAAGTCGGGTCGGGTATAGTACTATCTCCCTTATTCATCTAAGTATGAGTTATATTTTCGTGACATTTAAAGAAAAACGGTTGAAAATGCAAAAAAATCAAATTAACAGATCAACGTATAGAATTTGTTCAAAACAACTAAATTATGTTTAACACTATGAATTTTTAATGAAATACTTAGTATTAATTTTTTTGGTAGTCAAAACTTTTTGCATATTTTTTTTTGTATATGACTTTTTGTGTATAATTTAGTTATATATAATTAATAGAAGTTTATAAAGTCATTTTATTTGTGAGTCTAACATTTGTTTTTTAGTGTACATTTAGTAAAATTTGGTAGAGATTTGTACATTGAGCAATGCTATGGGTACACCATTTGGTGTACCCCAAATGTACACCACCCTCTTTTCCTCTACATATTTTTATTTGATTTTTATTTACTTATTTTTTTAAAATTTTTTTGCCTTTTTTAGTGGACAAGGAGGGGGTGGGGGATATTTGGGGTACACCAAAGGTGTACCCCTAGCATTTTTCTTGTACATTTGATCCCATCAAAAAAATTAGGTGAAGTCTAGCAGTGAAAAAAAAGGTGAAGTCAATCTCTTTTCCAGTTTCCTTGGGACCTGCGGTATAGCATGTACAGTGGAAACCCAAATTGGGATCGTGCTGGGATGAAATTAAGCCAAGGGTGAAATCGAGCTCTTATGTTCAGAAATGGCCGGCGACAAGTAATTTCAGCCACAGTTGAGGTCTAGCTGTTTCTTCATCACTGCGGTATTTTCGGCGATGGAGTAATACTCTGCTAGCAACCCTTCATGACATGAGTCTGGTAAGTCAGCAGTCTTATCTCAATTACGTATGGATAAATCATGGATGAAATCCGATAGAAGAAGCAGAGAGTATGAACTAGGAGTGGATGAATTGTTAAGGTCTGCAAGTGAAAACAGATTTGAGAGACAAAAAATTAGTTGTCCATGTCTAAAGTGTGTTCACACAAAATCCTGGAACACACAAACAGTTAGGGCACATCTTTTCCAACATGGTATTGATGAATCATATACATGTTGGATATGGCACGGAGAGCTAAATCCAGATGATGAACCCCCTCACCCACACAATAAACGTGTTCATGACTCATTTGATGATGGAACAGAAGAAAACAGCGAAGAAGATGGTGAGGACAGGTCTTTTGAATACTCTGATTTCATGAACCATGTCCAAGGGGATTCTGAACCCCTTTACCCGGGATGCAAGACCTACACTAAGCTGAAGGCACTAGTGATATTATATAACTTGAAGGCAAAGCATGGGATTTCTGATTCATGCTTCTCTGAAATTCTGCTTTTGCTGGGGACATTTCTCCCAAAGGGCAACTGCCTGCCTTCGTCATTTGGTGAAGCAAAAAAAACCTTATGTGCTTTAGGTATGGATTATCAAAAAATACATGCATGCCCAAATGATTGTCTTCTGTATTATGGCAAGAGAGATGAAGATAGTACAACATGTCGCATATGTGAGATCTCTAGATGGAAGTTGAATAGAAACGGCAAAGAATTGGAAGGGGTACCCGCTAAGGTTTTGTGGTATTTTCCTTTACTTCCGAGGTTGAGGAATTTCTTTAATACACCACATATTGCAAAGGATATGACTTGGCATGACAGCGAACGACAAAAGGATGGCAAGATTAGACACCCCGCAGACTCGAAAACATGGAAGGATGTTGACAGCCGGTGGCCTGAATTTGCTTTTGACGAGTAAATTCCATAATTAGTCCTTTATGACGGGGGGTTGTTAGAATAATAGACCAACGCTAGAGGGGGGTTGAATAGCGTTTGATCAAGAAATCGCAGGAATAAAAATGAATAAGTGAGAAGTAAAGAGAAAAGAAAGAGGCACACCGATTTTACCCTGGTTCACCACAACTTGTGGCTAATCCAGCCTCCCGAGAGACTCTCTCGAGCTACACTACTATCTCGTTAAGCTTAACGGTGCTTAACAAACCCGTACAACTTGAGAGTTCG